AAGGTCTAAGGGCAAAGACCATATCTTAGATTGTGTCTGAATCCCTCACAGCTTCCTATGTGGTCCCTAGTCTAGCATAGAGCTTTAGACAAAGTAAATATGCACTAAATATTTGTCGAGTCAAATATTTATGTTATTTTTCAATCCTTATTGTCACAGAGAAAAGCACCAGATTCTGATTCAATGTTACTAGGCCACATGTCCATAAATTCCTGGTGTCAGGGGACCCTGGACAAGGAGCAGGTAGGTGGCACAGTGGATAGAATATCAGGGCTGGATTCAGGAAGACCTGAGTTCAAATCCGACCTCAGACACTTGCTAGCTATGTTATCCTAGGCAATTCACTTAACTTCTGCTTGTCCCTCATGTCCTCACCTTTAAAATCGGGGTTATAATAGTACCACAGAATTGCTGTGAAGATCAAATGAAATAATAACTTTAAAGCACGTAGCACAGCGTCTGGCATATAGGTGCTATTATTTTTGTATATAACATTAGATGTTGCTGCTGCTGCCATCACCATCTAGGTTCCATCCTAATTCTGTCATGCACTGTGTGACTTAGTAACGAACTCTATATGCCTGAATTTCTTCATCCATTAAATTAAGGAACTGAACTAGATAGTTCTCTAAGGTCCCTTTCCCACTCAAATTTCATAATGCCATGGTTCATTAAGGCAACGGAAATGTACAGAGAAAAGAGCACTGCCTTATGAAGTCAGAGGGTCTGAGTTCAAATTCCACTCCTGTTGCTTATTAGTGATGGGTCCTCAGGCAAGTCACTTAACATTCCTAGGCCTCCTTAATAAAATTAGATTGGATCAGATGGACTCTGACATTCTTTTCAGTCCTAGATTTTTGATCCTAGGAGCTATGCTACAAGTATCCCTAGCTTTATGAAAGAGATGTTACAAAAAACGTAGTCATTAAAGAGCTTTGATTTAAAAAAAAATGAACCCATTTTCCCCCAACCAAAAATTAGACTACAATGGAGAAATAAAAACTTCACAACAAAGAGCGGCAAAAACTTAAAGAAGAGATGAACATAGCTGTCAGTCTTTGGGGTATGCAGGGAAATCAGTTGTACCAACAAAGCAGCTGGCATTTGTAATTCCTACCTGGTAAAGCTTTACCTGGCAGCTTATTTTTTCCTTATAATACATTCCTTTCTTTTACTGTTGCTCTAGCCCCAGATGACAAAATTTTCTTCGATCTTCGGTGATTCTCTAGGTCCACCTTTACATAATTTCTCTCTGTTAATGCTCCTGGCTATTTCTAGTGATCAACAGGTGTATCTCCATGCTTTACTACTACTAGGTGTTGACTAATGCACAATCTAATTGTAGCTAGAAGTTCATTAAATTCAAGACTGCAGATTAAATAACCTAAATTAGCTCCTCCTTTATTAGTTCTACAAATTACAGCACAATCAGTATCATTTACCAGTTTCAAAAGTGTCCCTTTTAGTTCTGTTACTAAACACTCACTCCTTTGTCGACTCCCATGCAATATTTTCCTCTGTGATATCCATCTTCCCCTACATGATATTGTCTTTTCCTTCCCTACTTATTTTTCCTTTTCTCTTTCTCCACCCTCTTGCTATCTTGGTAAACTCCGCAATAGCTGGATATGGCATCATGTCTTTTGCTGGCTTTTTAACAATTTGTGTTTAAAGGATGCCACATGTGTATCCAAGAAGGAATTCTGCTTAATCTGAGATCTGAGTGCATAAGGCAGAGACCTTCCTGAAGCAGAAGGGTAAAAACTGCTGGCTGTGGATGGCTTGGCAGCTGCATTAGTCAGCTTCTGGAAAATGTTCCAGACCCCTAGTTGTGAAACAATGCTGTTGGTCTTCCAATTCTCTTCCTCTTCCCCTATATGACAGCCACAAAACCTGCTATTTACATAACCTGGCTAGGAATCACAGAATCCTAGAATTTTAAGATTGCAAGAGACCCTAGAGATTATGAAATCCAACACTCTCTCTTGGCAGATAAGGAAAATGAGATAAGATAGGCTAAATGATTGCCTATAGTCAGTCACAGATCTCATTAGCGACAGAGCTGAGATTAGAACTCAGCTCTCCTGACTCCCAAGTCAATGCTCTTTAATATGAAAGGAAGACAACAAATCAGTTCTCAGTAACAGGAGACAAGAAGAGATCTAATTTTTTAAAATGAAAAGAGACTAAAGAGCTTAAAAAGAAACAAACTTTTCTAAAAAAAAAAAGATAAAACTGATGGCACAGAAGATCCAACACCTACTTTCTATAACAATTACCTTACAGAGATCAGTTACTAACATAATGTCCACATCCCGCAGTGCTCTAAAAATGGAGTAGAAGGGAAAAAAAGCAAATGTGTATTCTAGCTAACAATTAACAGAACTTCATCCTGAGTTTAAAGGGAAAAAAAAAATCAAATGCATTTGAGGCCCTTTACATTCTCATTGCATAATAGCTTTTTAGGGTAACATCTTATGCACTTAAAGTGAATATTCCATCATGGTGACCTATAACTTATGTCTGCAAGTAATTGTAAGCAGCTGATTCTAATATTACAGTGTTTAATGTGGAGGTAGGTTAAGACTGGGTTTGTGCACAATCAGGTTAAGATTGGATGCAACAGCAGAAAATCCATACATATGTTGGAAAATTCTGAAAAATGCCCATAGTCCCAACCTGATTAGGCTTCACATTTTTGCATGGTTTGTCAAAGCAGCTCAGTGAAATCAGATCAAGATGCAGAATTGGATAAAGTGATTTTCTTTTCTGTTTTTCCATTAATCACCATGACCCAGGGAAGCAAAGACCTTCTTCCCCTTCTCTCCTGAGGCAAGAGGGACACTTCTTTAGGAATTATGCTGATTCAAATCAGTTGCTGCTTAAGTTTCAAAATTTATTTCTATTTTTCCTGTAATATTTTTGCATCTGTGTGATGCTTTGTGTTATTACTCTCCGGTGCAATTTGCATTAAAGCAAGCTAATTTGTGCATAATTTGCAAAACAGCACTAACCACTTTTAAGATGGTTGACATTTTCCTTCAATTGGACCATCTCAGCATTTGTGTTATTGTCCAGAAACTGTAGTGATGTAACATTTTTTAAAATGAGGACAGAAAACTCCTTCAAAGAAAATGAAAGATAAGACATAGATATAAACTCTGGAGTTAAAAAAAAAAATCAAGGCAAAAGCCTTGAACTTGGTTAACTCATTTACTTAAAAAAAAAAAAACAACTTAGCTGTCTGCTCAGGACTCTCATTTTGGTTGCATTTAAACTGCTTGCAGAGTAGTGTCAGGTTATTTTTCAATTAAGATAGTGCACCGCCAATAGCAGTGCAGACAAACATCTGAAGTTTTCAATGAATGTTACAGTTCAATAACTTGGTATCTAACGACATTTTTGCTTCTATCAGACTGAATTAAGATGAAGTCTGTAACAAAACAATACATTTTATTTGAATATAAGCATGTTTGCTTTAAAAGCCTTTTCGGCGAGTGACTCTTGTTATTAATTTGGACCACAATGGGGTGCAGAGCTGCTGAGAGAGGAAGAGAGATGTTCTATAAACAACATACCACAAAGCAGGCCTTCATTCTCAATACCTGGATACTTCACATTTGTTTTCAGGCTCAAGGCTGCAGGTTAAATATCCTCAGCTATGCAAAAGGTAGCTTATCAGTTTCATAAAAAAAAAATTTTTATATTCTGAGTGAAAGCCACCCAATTTATTTGAATATAAGGGTATATATCCTTTTGAGTATAAGAAACAGACAAATAAAGTTTGTTTCCAATGACCAAACAAGGAACTCTAATTGAACAGCAAAACCACCAACTACAGGAGAGATTCTGGATCTGGATCTAATAGGACCTCACAACTTACGTTGGCATCTCCCTTAAAAAAAATAGAGTTCTCCATGGATTATAGATATTTTATATAAAGGCAGTGTAAAATGGATTTTTAAAAGAAATTTAATCAGATATATTCACTTCTTGTGCTCTGGTCATAAGGTTTAAAAAAATCCATTAATTGCCAAAAGAAAAAAAAACACTAGAAACAAAAATCCTCTAGGTTCAATGCTACAAATAGATTAGATGAGCTTTTTTTTTTTCCTGATCCAGTTGCCCTTCACAGTATGGAGGCAGCATATTAATGATACAGCTGATGGCAGGGACCACTGGTTGTTCCAGTATCACTACTGAGCTTAATGCCAAAATTTTTACTTCCTTCTTACTAAACAGCCGATTTTTTAAAAGTTCTTCTTGGACCCTATGGTAATTTATATAATTACTAATCAACACATGGACATATATACACAAGAAACAGGCTAATTCCAAAAACATTTTTTTAAAAAAGCATATTAATGGCAAATGCATAATTTTATAAATATTCAGCTGATGATGATAGGGTTTATTCACAGATTACATAAACCTCATTAATTTAATGGCTTAATTTTAGTCATATACTCATGAATAATAGCCACCAAATCCAAATTTAATTAGAATTCACTTTCTTGGAAACCTTAAGGCTTTTCATGAAATTTACCTTGCACTTTATTCCTTTCAAGATATATTAATGCTATATTAGATGAAGAAGGTTCTTTCCTGAAAGGTGAATTCTTCACAGATCAAAAAACAATTGTTCTTATTTAGATATATTCATAGGCCTTTTCAGAGATTTCCTAACTTAACCACTTGAAGTAGATATTACAAGTATTATTATCTCCAATTGATAGATGAGTTAACTGAGACTCAGAAATGAAGTGTTACCATTTTCACATAGCTAATAAGAGTAAGAGGTAGGATTTGAACCCAAGTCCTCTTGACTATTTCTAACATTCAATCTACTATCCCATATTTCTTCTAATATAAGTACTACACAGAACTTAACAACTAAACTGTAATTAGAAAATATCTTTCATAGGCCCTTTACACTGGGTCAAACAAAATTAGAAGGAAAAAAAAACTTTATAAGACGGATGAAATTCATGAAATCTTACCTCCTGGACAATGTCTCATGGCCATTTTACACCTTCTAGATTCAGCAATGGTTGGACATGGTATTGTGTCTTTTGCTGGCTTCTTAACGATTTGCCGTGTTCTTGTTTCCAAACCCCATTTAAATCCACATGTTCGGTTGTTTCTGCTACAAGTTCCCCACTCACTCCAGGGACCCACTTCACATCCTTCTGTTGAGACAAAGACAAGTAACAATTTGACACAGACTGACCCTTTATCATCTACTTATATAAAGATACTTTCCTTCCTTCCCCAACACACACACACAAGCTAACCCTATATATGTATATATGTGTGTATGTATACAATATATGTGTATACACATATACGTATATAAACACACAGTTATATGCGTGCATGTGTTTTCCTGGGTAAACATACTTTCCCACAGTTTTGAGAAGGTTCTTGCCCCCAGTGGTAAGCCTTTCATCTTTTCTTACACAATCTTTCAGTGGTACCACTGGAGTAAAGGCTTCTCAGGTTTTATTTGAAGAGGTTGAAAGACTTTTATAGTACATATTATCCAATCCAATAAACATTTCTTAAGCACCCACTATGTGCCAGGCACAGTGTGTATCATCCCAAAGATCATGACGTAATCCAAAAAAAGAAAATCAAAAGAAAAAAATTTACTTTATTTCTGATTGAATTAAAATTCCTAAATCAAAATCTAGTGATTAGTTCATCTCTAAATTTCAACTGTAGAATATAATAATTCTGAATATCTCAGTGAAATTATAAGAATTCATATAATGATCATTAATTAATAGTAATGCACGGGAGGTTTGTCTGACAAATTTCTCGTCCCAAAGATTTAAATTTATTGAACAATGAGGAAGATAAAGTGAAATATTTATTTATTCATTCAGCACAGGCTTATTAAGCACTGTTCTAGTTCTTGGATAAACAAAGATTAAAAAAAAAAAGAAATAATCTTTGCTCTCCAGAAGCTTGAATTCTACTGGAAGGCTTGATGCATGTCACTTTATGTGGGTACAGCCAACCATGGTTTATACATTTAATACAAGTGCAATTTTCATGCAGCTGAATTTTTGTAGTGGTAGAATAACAAAAGTTTTGAAATTTATGGTCCTAATGAAGAGTACTTAACTGATGTATTTTCCTTTAAAATTTTCAAGTAGTATCACAAATAAAAAGGTACCTCTCTGGGAACAGTTAATATTACTTTATTAAGCTACAAAGAAATAAATATATTGCTCAGGTAATAAACTTTTGCTGACACATGTTCATTTCAATAAGCAAACATGCCAATACTAGCTATAAGCCAAATAACAAAAATGCTTGAGAATATTCATCTTAATAATTCAGTAAATCAACACATGATTGATCAATTTTAGTTTTAATTAACAATGTAGTTCAAGTAGACAATGGGAAATCAACAAGTTTTGCAAAGACACAAGTGTTAAAAGGGGCTACAGTTTTAGAGAAAATTAAAGACCACTCACCCACACATTCCATGGTTTCATCTAATGATGCAAAACCATCAGGACACTCATGAAAGCAGCGGCCTCTATGCAAGTAAAAGCCTGCTTTGCACTTCGTACAAAAGTCTTTGCTAAAGCAAGAGTCACAGTTTTCTATTCTGCATCCTAATTTTTTTAAGAGAAAGAGAAATTCAGAGTAAGAAACATTTCATTTAAGAATATTCACCCTCTCCCCAAGTCATTATCCCCACAGAAATGTTAATGGCCAAAATTGCCATTCTTCCTTTTCCACAGACACTAATACTGCCCCTTTGAACTCATTCTCAACATCCCCCCCAGCTTATCGCCACAACAATCAAAAGACAAGCAATGAGTAGCTGGTCTCTGAACATATTATACATGAGGATGTTCAGAACTTTGTGTGCAGCCTTCAAGTGGTATAAATTTAAAAAATTAAGAATTTGGATTAATTTTGTGATTAAAACTAAAAGGTCAGAGAACCTTAAATAAGATCACAACATAGCTATACATGCAGACATAATTGGTATAACTGCTGGCTATCCACTAAAGTTAAAAAAAAAAAAGAACAGGTCATTCAACAAATTTAGTTTTCCCAGACTTCACAGATTCCTCTGAAACCCAATGCAGAAAACCTAGAAGGAAGACTCTCCTTAATGATTCTATGTTGATTTGATAATTAGGTGACCAACCTAATTCTTATTAGACCTTAGTATTATCATTGATTGCTTGTGTCATTAGTGAAAACAAACAAAAATTTGCAGTGATTTTACAGAGAATTTTTTCCAAATTACATTTGGCAAGGGACAAAGAATGAGGGCATGAAGGTTTATTATTAGGCTCAAAGCAGGGCATGATGGATAGACTAATGCTTCTATGGACTGTTATATTATTTCTTACATATCAATTTTTTCAGTGTTCCTGTCATGCATTCAATGACCATCTCAGTGCAATGCCAACATTGAATTTGATATGTTAAAGCAACAAAAGAATCAGAAGGCAAAGAAACTCATAGGAAAGACAAAAATAAACCCTGAAATTCAAGTGCAGATTTTTAAAGTTTATTCTGAAAATATAATTGATAAGAGTACCTAAAACTAAATGGAATATTGAAAAACCAATGTATAGAATATGTCAAAAAATTTAAAAAACAATGTAGACTATCTAATAATATAAAACATACCTGGTTCTTCATACCTCCTAAGTATCAAGAAGCATTACCTCTACTTCTTGATAACTGTTTGACCTTGAACAAATCACTTAACTGCCCTAGGTTTCAGTTACCTCACCTATAAAATCAAGGGATGTAGCTCCTGACAGAGAAGCAATGGATTCAATATGGCAAATGAAATATACATTTTTGGATGTGGCCAATGTGGAAATTTGTTTTTCTTGACTGAACATTTGTTGCACAAATTTTTGCTTCTCTATGGGAGAGAAGAGAAGATGGAGAGAGAAAACACTTATTAACTAGGGAAATGATTTTAAAATCTAATAAAATGAGTGTTGGATTATGACAGCTCTCTCAACTTTAATATATGATATTGTAATCCTATAATCCTTACTGGGTCTGTTTGGGGAATAAGTAACCCCAAAGAAACAGTTAATGAAATAAACGCTGAAAAATCATGTACAAATGATGTACCACTAGTTTAAGGAAAATTCAAAAGCACAGCAAGAATTCTTTAATGCATGGGGAGAAAATTTGGAACTCAAAATCTTGTGCAAGTGAATGTTGAAAACTAAAAATAAATAAATTAATAAAAAATTTGTAGAGATGGGAAAGTAGGTATATTGGTAGATAGTTATTTTAGAATAATGATCATAATAATACACTAAAAAAAGAAATCTTTAATGCATAGAAAAATACAAGATTTGTTTGGAATCATAGCTCAATAACTTGCATTTCAATAAGAATTTCGTATGCGGCCAGTTAACCTTTTAATTAGGTCATATCACATATTTTATTCACATAAAAATGTTAGATTTTCTGTTGAATTTCAAGAAAAGTATTATTATTAAAGAAATTACAGCATCTATACAAGACATTTAAAGGAATATAAGGGAAGAAACCAACAAAATATTTAAATTAAAAATAATTAAGTTAGACACCTTATAAAGCACCTGAAAAGTTTGACTCCTGTTTAAAATGTACCTTTGCAATAATATAATTTTGTTGGACATGTGAAATTATAGCAGTAAATATTTGGAATTATTTTCATGAAATATTGGCCTGGTCATTATTTGTACTCATATTTTCCATTTCTTTTTTTATTTTACCCCATCCTTTCAAATCAATTTATATAATGCAAAACCTCTTCAATAGTACAGGCTTTCAGAAATTCTGAGTACACTATAAATTCATGTTGTTCAACTTATACTGTGTCTTAACTCCAGCAAGGCAATAATTTCATTCCTCCCTGATTCCATTTCTCACTACCCAAAGAAATTACCTATTCTTTTATCAAAGCTCCCACCATACTCTTAGCTGAAGAACTCTGAGGATTTCCTGAGAAAACTACACCCTTTATCTTTTTTTTAAGTTTACTATTATTTTCATTGTTGCTGTTGTTGGGCCAATGTAGACAATATATTTCATCTATTAGTCTATATTTTATATTGCATGTCATATAACATGAGCCTATGTAGATATTTTGGAATCTCAACTCTTATTATATTAGCTTTGTCTCCCAAGTTTGTTCCATCTACAAAATTGATGAATGGAACATGTATGTCTTTCTGCTTATCTTTGCTAAAAAATGTAAAACAGCATTTGACATTTAACATTCACTGCCATAGTATTTTGAGTTCCAAATTTTCTCCCATTTTGTCCCTCCCCTCACCCCAAGACGGCATGCATTTTGAATACCTCTTCCCATAATCTGCCCTCCCTCCTATCTCCCCCCACTTCTCTTATCTCATTCCCCTTCTAGTTTCCTGTAGGGCAAGATAGATTTCTATACCCCATTGCCTGTATATCTTATTTCACAGTTGCATGTGAAAACAATTTTTAACACTTATTTTTAAAACTTTGGGCTCCAAATTTTCTCCCTTCCTCCCTCCCCACCCACCCTCATTGAGAAGACAAGCAACACCATACAGGTTATACATGTGTAGTCATGCAAAACACTTCCATTGTAGTCATGTTGTGGAAAACTAACTAAATTTCCCTTCATCCTATCCCGCCCTCCATTTTTCTATTCTCTCTTTTGCCCCAGTCTCTCCTCAGAAGCATCCCCTCTGCTCTCTTATCCCCTTCCCCACTATTTTCCTGTAGGGTAAGATAGATTTCCATACCCAGTTGAGTGTGTATGGTATTCCCTCCTTAAGCCAAATCCAATGAGAATAAGATTCACTCCTTCCCTCTCACCTTCCTCCACTTCCCCTCCATTGTAAAAGACTTTTCTTGTCTGTTTCATGTGAGATAATTTACCCCATTCTATTTCTCCCTTTCTCCTTCTCCCAGTATAATCCTTTCTCACCCCTTAATTTTATTCTACAGATATCACCCACCCCTTCATTTTCAACTCACCCTGTGTCCTCTATCTACGTATGTATCTATACATATATATCTTTCCCTTCAACTACCCTAATACTGACAAAGGTCTCTTGAGTTACAAATATCATCTTTCCATGTAGGAATGTAAACAGTTCAACCTTAATAAGTCCCTTATGATTTCCTTCCTGTTTGCCTCTTCATGTTTCTCTTGAGTCTTGTATTTGAAAGTCAAATTTTCTATTCAGCTCTGGTCTTTTCATCAAGAATGCTTGAAAGTCCTCTATTTCACTAAATATCCACTTTCCCCCCTGAAGGATTATACTCAGTTTTACTGAGTAGGTGATTCTTCGTTGTAATACTATCTCCTTTGACCTCCAGAATATTATATTCCATGCCCTCTGGTCCCTTAATGTAGAAGCTGCTAAATCTTGTGTTATCTTGATTGTATTTCCACAATATTTGCATTGTTTCTTTCTGGCTGCTTGCAATATTTTCTCCTTGACCTGGGAACTCTGGAATTTGGCTACAGTATTTCTAAGAGTTTTCCTTTGTGGATTTCTTTCAGGAGATGATCAGTGGATTCTTCCCATTTCTATTTTACCCTCTGGTTCTAGAATATCAAAGCAGTTTTCCTTGATAATTTCTTGAAAGATGATGTCTAGGCTCTTTTTTTGATCATGGCTTTCAGATAGTCCAGTAATTTTTAAATTATCTCTCCTGATCTATTTTCCAGGTCAGTTGTTTTTCCAATGAGATATTTCATATTGTCTATTTTTTTATTCTTTTGGTTTTGTTTTACAGTGTCTTGATTTCTCAAAGTCACTGGCTTCTATTTGCTCCTTTCTAATTTTTAAGGGAGTATTTTCTTCAGAAATCTTTTGGATTTCCTTCTCCATTTGGCCAATTCTGCTTTTTTAAGGCATTCTCCTTCTCATTAGCTTTTTGGACCTCTTTTGCCATTTGGGTTAGGCTACTTTTTAAGGTGTTATTTTCTTCAGTATTTTTTGGGTCTCCTTTAGCAAGTTGTTGACTTGTTTTTCATGATTTTCTTGCATCACTGTCATTTCTCTTCCCAGTTTTTCCTCTACTTCTCTTACTTTCTTCTCAAAATCCCTCTTGAGCTCTTCCAAGGCCTGGGACCAATTCATATTTTTCTTGGAGGCTTTGGATGTAGGAGCTTTGGCTTTGTTATCTTCCTCTGATTGTTATCTTCTTTGTTACCAAAGAAAGATTCCATGGTCTGACTTCAGTTTCCTCATGTTCCCCAGTCAATTACTCGCATTTTAAACTCTTTGTTAAGCTAAGGGTCTGCTTCCAGTGTGGAGAATGTACTGTCCTAAGCTTCAGGGGTTTTGTAAAGCTGTTATCAGAGATACTTCTAGGGACCTGTAAATTTTCAGTTCTTCCAAGATGGGACAATCAAGGGTGAGGTGTTTGCTCCTTTCCTGGACTGTATTCTGGTCTATGAGTGACCACAAGCACTCTTTTCTTCCTTGGAACTGTGAGGGGGATTCCCTCTCTATAGCCACTACAAACTCCACCATGCCAGCACTCCTTCTCACTCCAGGACCGCCATCCAGAACTTTGACCCAGATCCAAGCAAGGGCAAAGCAAGAGATCCCTGCAATTCCCCTCTGACCAGCCACTT